AACTTGACAAGCGAAGCGGTAGCAAAATACGTCCAAAAGTTTTTGCAGGAGCACGAGCCGCGTGGAGAGGAGGGGACCAGGTCGTGGGGCCGAGCACGCGAGCGAGCTTAGTGTACACCCCGCCGAGCCGGGCCAGCCAGCTTTTGTACCATAGCACCACCCCGCTGAGCCAATGAACCCCTGTCAGCCACCCCGTCGAGCCGGGCCAACAGAATGAACACCCTCGTCAACTCCCGAGCCGGGTCAACCGTCGACGTCACGACATACCTCCCGCCTCGTTATTCACATGCTTCCCGCCAGGTATAAAAGGCGCGCATGCCTCCCGCCAGGTGCACGTACATTCTTTCTTCCCTTCCGCCATGTACCCCAATCCCGGTCTCAGCATGTATGTCCCTCTTCCTCTCTGTACCGCTTCCTGCTAACCATCCTCAAGAACCGGGCGGTCCCAGTTCAATAGCGACGCGCACCTCACTCGCAAGGCACTGAGGGTACTATCCTCATTCCTCCGTCGTCGTCTCCTAACCCCTTGCTAGCCCGATGCCTCGACTAGTAACAATCCACCGCGGCAAGCTCCCAGTCTACCAAAAAATGTCACCAGTCGAAGAGATCAGCCGAGGTATCTTCAGTACCGCGCAAACATGATGTCCTTGAACAAGGATACCGACGGCGGTCTCGCTGGCCTTCTCGAAAAGGTCAAGGAATGGGCCGCCCAGGCACCCAGCACGGAATCGCCTCACCTCAGAGACAAGCGCGAACGCATCATGGAAAAGTATGAACTGACGGTTCTTGCTGTCTGCCCCACCATGGACGTAAACGACTTGTGGCTCGACACCACTATTCGCCAATATACCGCAATCTTCCTCCATCTCGTGGCAAGTCCACTGTATGCGCGCATATATCCACATCTCACCGTTCCCTTCTAGGTCCAGTGCACCCGGGGACGCAAGACCGAACATATCACAGCTACAACACTGCTGCATACCGGCCGCATGTTCGCCTATTGCGTAGCAAAGTATTGTCGCAACAAGGACGGCGAGGCGACTGGTATGAAAGAGCTCTGCCAAGGTGGCCTCTTTCGTTATATTGAAAATTTTGATGCCTATCGTGCGTATATCCATACTAGTCTACTAGCCCTCACGCCTCTCCAGTCATAGATAAATACAAGCTTGAGCGCTTCATTAGCACGGAAAAACCCCGCTTCGGAAAGTTAGAAGTGCTTTTGCTCATCCGCGAAGCTCTCAAGAATACTGAGACCTACGGTCCCTGCCGCATCGTTGCCATCCAGCGTATCATAATTTGCCTCATATCCTTCTTCACCGGCGTGCGACCTTCAACACTCGGGCCTTCACACAAGGACTACAAGATTCAGGGAAAAGTAAGCTCACTACCTTAAGTCTGTCCATCGCTAATGCTCCACAAGTTTATGCGGCTGCAAGACGTTCGCATCTTTACTACGGGAAAACCTCTCCAGTTTCGAGTCATTCTTCGTACGAATGCGTACAAGGGCCATAACAGCACCGTCGGTCAGGAACGAAGAATTGTTTTCAATCCAGTCCAAAACTGGTACAATCTCGCATTTGATGTGTCCCTGTACATCGTTATGCACCTCTTTGCCCGCAAGGCGCTCAAGGGTGTCAAGGTTCGTGTCTGATTTGGGCCGCATTATTGCTAATTCTCTTTCCAGGATTTCGACACTCTTCGACGATTCAAAGGCAGCGAGATCCCCATAGAAGACACCAAGAAGCTCCTTCCTTTTTTGCTCGCAATGGACCCGGGAGGGCGCAACCTGAAGGAGGACGAACCCATAATGTCAAAAGCGGTGTCTTCCACTTTCAGCACGCTCTGCCGCAATTCATACCTGCCTCCTTCCGGTACATACGCAACTCGCCGTGGTTGTGCAGATTTTGTGAGTATTGCCCTCTCTACCACATCCTTTCTGACGTCCCTAGTACAACACCACAATGGGACAGGCAGCTGCAGAGCTCGTTCTGGGACATTTCCGACCCGGTTGTCTCAACAGCTATGTCCGAGGTGTCGAAGGTATCGATATGGTTGGCCATGCTTTGGAAGAACTTCCCGAGGGCCTCTCGCCAAACGTCAAGGTTTGTTATTTGATTTTTTTTTTGTCTAAACCTTGTTGATAAATTAACAGCACGCGCTCGAATTGCACTCAATTCATTCCGTGGCTGTGACGGCAATGGTTGCGCTCTTCCACTCTGAACAACACAGCCCCCTTCAAACCGAAGACAAGCCTGTAAAGACGGGAGCCGAGGACGAGCCCGTCGTAAAGTCAAAGACGGGAAACGAAATCACCAACCATGTCAAGCTTACTGAAGATCAGATGCTTGAAATTGAGGTACGATTCATATTTTTATGCGACCTCTGCTGACATCCAGCAGGTCCTACCCGAGATGTGTGAACTTGCCGAGTCAGCTGCCAAGGCCCTCGAAGAGTTCAAGGCACTATATGAAAACACTCGCTCCAAAGCAGGCGTAAAATACGACACCATTGGGCAACTCCACAATTTCATCAAGGCCTCCACCCTTCGAAGTGATGTAGATGAGGAGACAGTAGAAAAGGTATGACGGTTTTCATTGTCAGACAGTGCTAACCCAACACATAGCTCCGACGAGAGGCCAAAGACACCGCCGAAGCTCTTCGCAAGAAGAGGCAGTTGCTGCGCAAGAATGCAGTCGCCGCCATCAGACGAGGCCAGGAAGAAACCCGCCAAGCAACCGAACCGGGCACTTTTGACGAGCGAGCCAAGGCTCGGCAAATGCTACAAAGCCAAAATATCCTCGCTCCAGGTCCTTCTGCAAACCCACCCGACATACGATCAAGGATCCTTGGCCTTCGTGATGAGCAGCTCAAAGAGATAAGGTCCCTGCCTGAACAGGAGCGAATCGCACGTCTGGAATCACAGGAGGAGGAGGAAGACGAGGGCAACGAGGAGGTCGACAAGGATCCTCGTCTCAAAAACATCCTTGCAGTGATACGTTCGAAATCTACTGCCGCTGCCAGACGGCATTCGGAAGACGACGATGACAACGACGACAACGACAACGAACAAACGGTTTCTTGCACTGTCGACAATGTCGCATTCGAAGAATGCGATCCCTCGACGCCCTGCCAATCGTCTGGCACCTCCAAACCACCGCTGCGTCTCGTCGTCAGGGACCTCTCCTACCAAGAACACGAGGAAACCGTTCCAGACAATATCATTCCCTGCGACGATGAGCAAGTTCGCGTTGCCTTGTGGCATATGCTCATGGCACCGGTCACGGTTTCTCAGGAGATAGACAGCATGGTCGCTGTATGTCACGGATTCTTCTTTCGATACATGCATGCTAATACCCACGACAGGTAGAGAGAAAGAAAGACAAGCGACAGGCCAAGGAAAAGACCTACATCTGCGAGCAATGCCTCGCTTTCAAACACGACCCGACACGGTCCAAACGGCTCTGGACAAGGGCTCATCTTCAGCGTCATTGGTGAGTACACAGACCGACTGGTGGCGACCATCGTCTGACCTTTTTTCCAGGCTCAATCAACACACGGAATGGGATAATCTCGAGCTCAAGATGTTGATAGGCACAAGGTACACCTCCTTCAAGTGCCCGTCCGAGGCTTGCAATTTCAAGTACGCTCGTTATACTTTACCACGTTGTTTCTGATATTTTGCAGGTCCTCGTCAATACGCAAAGTTCGCAGGCATTGCGTCAGGTCCAAGTGCCCAGAACGCTCCAGGTTTAGGGACATGAGAGCCCGCCACGTCGTGCGCGAAAAATTCATGTCAAACGAAAATATTCAAAGAACGCGCGTCAAAACGAAAATAGTCCTGCCGATCAAGCCTCTCCTTCCTCTAGAGTCGCGCCTAGAAGTGTTTTCCAAGAATCAAGTCAGTGCTCTTGGCTACGCACTTGTCGCAACTCATTTTCTTCTAGGATGAACAAACCGCAGTCAAGTATTATATCAACGCAGTCGCCATGTTGGAGGAGATGGAATTCAATGTCGCACAGTTGGGAAAGATGGAGACAATGCTCGGTGACAAGTTTATGCAATTTGAATTGTAGTACAGCGTCTATGCAGGAAAGTAGAAATCGGAATCAAAGTCATTGAAAGAAAGATTGCTCAGTACAGAGAGCGGCGCAAAAGGATTAGTAACAGCGACCGAAGCAGCAGGCAGCTCAGAAGATTTGTCTTTAGGCGATGGATAGGCGTCTTGGGGTCTGCCGACGGGTTCCTGTCCAAGCTGTAGTTTCGTCTTGGCGAGTTCAGTTCGGAGAGCATCCAGGTTCTGCTGCAGCTCCTCGTTGGCAGCCCTCAGTACCAGCAGCTCTTCCTTTGCAGCCTTCAGCTCTTGTCGCTCCTCCTTCGCAGCCCTCAGCTCTTCGTCTCCCTCCCTCTCTATATCCTTCATAATCTTGTAGCCAGCGAGGATCTTCCGGTGCATCGTCTCCAATTCGACGAGATCCGCAGGAGCATGGCCACTATAGAAACAATTGACTCCATATATGCGCTCAATACAACAGTGCACTCACACTTGGCATACCGGACAGAGCGACGCGACCTGGCTCGTCTTCCCGACAGACGTGTCTTCTTCGTCGTCGTCGCTGCTGATGACTACCGTATACTTGCTCTTCTTCCGGACAGACACTTCCTCATCGTCGTCGCTGCTGATGACCATCGCGTACTCTTCGTTCGAGTCACTAATCTCAAGTCAGAAATAAGAATAGTATAGAAAAAGATACTTGCTTGGAATGAGTGGTTCTGCGCTTGCTTGAAGACATGATGGTCAAGATGAGAGAGAAGACGCGCCACAGACGCGTCTTGTTGATCGGTTTCTTTGTCACTATTTGGCGCCCGGTGCGAAGCATAAAACTACTAGCCCACCGCGAGTCTCGAACTCAAATCATAGCACTACACCATGGAACCGCGATACCCCTGGAGATTTCGTTATTTAGGTAGATACAATGGTGAGAGATCATAGGTGCAAAAACTGATTCAACTGAGACTTGAACTCAGGACCTTGTGTGTGTGAGACACAAATCATAACCACTAGACCATTGAACCGATACCCGTTAGTTTATACATATATATATGTCTTAGAAATGATGCCTTAAGACAATGTTGCCTCGTACGTAGTTGAGGCTCCTTAAAAGATGGAAACATCAAAGGTGCATAGCTCTCCAATTTATTAACCGAAAGGGGATCAATCGGTTGTTTCTCGAAAATTCTGCGGAACTGAGAACTGAGGACACAGCCACACCTCTCTTCTTCACCACCACGATGTCTGAAGCATTTTATCCCAACGTTAATGGCTACGCGGGTTACGCCTATCCTATACCCTCACCACCGAAACCTAAGCCAGGAGTCAAACCTGTCAATGTCTTTTCTAACGATGGTTCTTTCCTAGACCGCATCCAACGCAGCATGAAGGTATGATATGTATCATTCACATCTCCTATATATCTTCGTTTTGCGTTCAGCCCTGAAGACAAGGGCATCTCTTTACAGGAAACCGACGAAAAGCGTAAACGTGAAGAGGATCTTGAAAGGTCAGCACATAATATACTTTCTATCGTTCTTTGCTTATCGTGAATGTGCCCAGAAAGAGAAACTCTGATAACCGTTTCGTGAGTTGACCCTCATCAGCAGTAGAACAGCCATTCATCATATACCAGAGGAATCGAGGGAAACGACCACTCCCAGCTACCGCCGACTCGACACCTGCAGACCCACCTACCAAGAAACAGAAGTCTGACAGCACCTCAGTAAAGAGTGCGCTTGATCATTGCCCGATGACTAACAACCCTGACTCCTGCATGGCCTAGCTGAATACCAGAAGCTTGTCGAGAACTATTCTGGACGTAATCTCAGAGGCGATGGCGCTGGTGGGCACACTCTCACTCGGTAGATGCTGAATGTGTTATGATTATAGAATCCAAGCTGACTATCGTTACCGCCCAAGTGAGTATATGTTGTCCTCTTCCTAGTCCTATACCAATGATGTCCATAGTATCCACGTTTAGCTCCTTCCCGATGCGCATGTACTACGTAACTGAATGGAATTTGACTCGAACTTTTGAGAAAATGATGAACAATATCCATACGTTGCAACCGCAACTCTGTTAGTTATGCTTCCAAAATCCGGAATACCTAATCGAAGGAGTCAGCAGAGATGCGATATTGACTTATATGACACATACCTTCACAACACCGCTCTTCAAGTCCTCCAAGCGGTAGCTCACTGACTCCACCGTCTAGAGCAATCATTAACAAAGGGATGGCAAACTACGAATTTAACAGAAATTACCTGCTGCCCGACATGCTGGTTCGCTTGGAACACTCTGAGCTTGAACTTCTTCGCTTCAAACTCGCTGATAATACCAACAAGCGGCTCCTTCGTGCCCACATGCTGACTGTACGTCTGAATACCTTTATGACCTTTCAACTTGGCATCCGAAAGCCACACAACATCTCCAGGCATGATCTCTCCCGCTCTCTTCTGCACCGAAGAACCCGACTGCATATATATGATGTATCCATATGATGGAGGAGAAGGCGGCGCTGCACCTGGTACCTCGTTCAAGACGGCCTCGATGAATCCATGATATGTCCCATCGCCAATCAACGCTTTCTTCGATTTATCATTCAACGATGTGGCCACTTCACACACTTGAACGCCAATACGACCCCATATCGCAATCAATTCCTCTGAGGTCAGAACCGCGTCTTCTTGGCTCTTTGTAGGCTTGATGATCTCGGGTGCAGGAGCAGGAGTAGGGACAGTTGACTCTGTTTCCGCTACATCATCGGTCCACGGCACCGACATGGTTCCACCAGTACCAAATTCGAGCGAGGAGCTCGGAATCGACGGGAGCTCCCACTGCGACGATACGCTGTCGGACAGCTCCATTCGGGGAGGAGAGCTGTCGGAGAATGGCGGCGGTGGCGGCGGCGGTCCTCGAGGAGGAGGTCGAGTAACAAGCTTTGGAGGAATATCTTGCGCCTCAGGTTCCTCGACCATGACGAAGTCATACTGGGGTTTATGTGTCTGAGGAGGAATAGCGCCAGAATCACTATGGGATGATTTGATAGATGTCACAGTTTGGACACTAGTTCGTCGTGGAAGATTTGTTGTGGGCACAGGTGGACGACCAGGAGGAGGGGGAGGGCGAGAGGGCGATTGTGTAGCCGGCGGAATGTCCGTCGACACTTGACGCTGCACCGACGCTCGTCTGCCTTCGCGAGTAGGAATAGGCGGGGGAGGTATGTCCTCAGGTACCTCATCAACTTCTTCGTATCGAACTTCTTCTGCGTCACTCTCTTCTTCTGCCTCCACTTTGACCACATCGTCTGATGTTGCCTGACTCTCTTGCTCAGAATCAGTCTCTTGCGTTTCGGTAGGCGGTGGGGCCCGAGGCATGGGAGGGGCTCGAACAGATGGATGCGGAGGCATGTGAGATGGACCAGATGACGATGGTGGCAAAACACCAACACCCAAAGGCATCATTCCAATCCGCATTCCACCCATACTTGCTAACTTGGCGGCAATACGTTCCTTGCGTGCCCGTTCCTCTTCCTCTTCATCCGGTTCTTCCGCAGACTCCGGCTCTTCTTGTTCCAGTTGAGTTCCTTCAGCACTATCATCTTGAACTTCGAGGGCCCTCTGAGGTGGGGGTGGAGGCCGCGAGGTCGGAATAGGCGCAGCACCGAACTTGATCCCGCCGAGCTTCGCCATCCGTTCAGCAATTGTCCGTCGCCTTTCTTGTCCCGGTTCCGCTTCAATAGGCTCTTCAGCTGACGCGGTTTCTATGACAACGGGTGCTGGTGATGTCGCTGCAGCCGGTGCTGAAACCGCCGCTGCGGGTTCTCGTATATGGGAACTTACAGAAGCGGATGGCGATGCGGGCTCTCGTATATGTGACGCAGTTTGGTCTTGAATATTGTTGTACGACGCACGCCTACTTGGGCTATGGAATATCGGATCAATTGGATCTATTCACCAATTTATCAGTGTTCGAAAGATTGGCATTGATGAACCTACCACCCTCTTCTTCATCCAAAATCTCTTGTTCTGAAGAATGGTCGCTGACGGAAACAGTAGGAGTCGACATAGGCGGGGTATAGGGTCGCCGGTTTACTCCAAGACCAGGAGGAATTTTCACCGACTCCCCTCTCACAGGCGGAGGAATGATCAAGGGTTGCTCCTCTGAAGCAGGAGATGGGCGCCTTGGAGGCGGCGGGGGTAATGGTATTGCTTCTTGATCGGACTCTACCTCTTCTACGGGAACAGGAGGAATAGAACGGTGAGGATGTGGGTGCGCAGACACTGGAGGCGTCTCTATCTCAGATTGGTCGCTTGATTGGGACAATGATCGCTGCGGTGGAGGAACGGGACGATGGAAAGGGCCTGGGTGAGGAAGAGGCGTGCTTTCATCATCCTCTTCCGCAGCCTGCGACTGCAGGATAGAGAATGATCGCGGGGGAGGAATTTGTAAAGGTGATGTTGGTGATATCGGTGAATCATGCTCAACAGATGGCGGAGGAGGGACCGAACGCTGCGGTGGCGGGGCAAAAATAGCACCATCTTCGACCTCTGCGGTGGATGCGAGTGGCGGCGAAATCGATGTGCGTTTCGGTGAGACAACAACGATGTCGTCGTCATCCACACGTTGTATGGAAAGCCTTCGTAGTGGAGGAGGTGGTGGAGGTGGAGTAGCAACAGGCTCGGACGCCGGAATAGGCGGCCTTGTGCTATTCGGGGGCAATGGCGGTGGAGGTCCGAGAGTGGCCTGTTGCGGCAGACGGGCATTATCGTCATTAATCTCATCCTGATCCTCAATAACGGGGGGAACTTTCTCTTCATGGGTTGACAGTCCCTGATCCTCATCAACTGACTCCGTATCCAATTTCGTCTCGGCCTGATTCTCCGCTTCGACAGCAGCCGCACCCCTCGCACTAATCTCTTCTTCAAACGACTCTGGCTCTTCTGTGATCCCGACGGGGAATCTGGGTTCTGGTTCATCCCGGACGAAGATAGCGTCTACGAGACAGCAAAAAGAATCAAATCAATATTTGTTACACATTTTACGATCGATAAACGAGAGAGAGAAAACATTAATATTTACCATCCTGAGATCGTCTCTTCGAACTAGCATGTATCTGTTCTCCTGAGGTTACTGAATCAATACTGCGAGTTCTAGTGGGAGGCGAAGTGATGGCCGGAGACTTCTCGCTGAACTGAGAACTGCGACGGCGCGGTGGAGGTGGTATGGAGCTAGACTGTTCTTCAACCGACATCTCATCGATAGATGGCTTTCTAACGCTCAGCTTTCTCTTCGGAGACTGCGAAATAGATCCAACACTAGCACGCTTCTGGACTGTGGGTGATTGCGGCGCCACAACATCGGAAACATTCGAACTGGTGCTCGATTTCCTCTGGAGTGGGGGAGGAGCGAAGGGGCTGATTCCACCCATCTTGGCATTCCTCTCGGCGACGCGATGGCGTCTGGTCTCTTCATCCTCATCCTCCTCTTCGACAGATGGGACCGGCGGCTCCGGCGGCTCCGGGGCAGGAGAGAGATGCTCCTCTACAGGCACATCGGAGATCTCATCAGGACCCAGCTCCTGGCCTGACTCAAATGTCTTCGTAGGCGCTTCGGGTAGATCGATGCGACCTTGAAACGAGGGTGACTCTGGAGATACTCTGATGTCCGCGACGTCAGCTTCAACAACATGAGGAGAGAGGAGCCCTTCATTCGCGGTGCGTGTCGTTGCAGTTTCGGTGGACGATTCTAACACCGGCTCAGTAACAACACTCAGTGGCTCCTCCTTGGGCGCGCCCTCTGAATCGCTGATAGGATGTGACGTGATGTCCAAACTAACAAGACTCTCCCTATTCTTCTGCCCGTCTTCGACGGAGGATGGAGCTGGAGATTTTGCAGGTCTTCGGCGAGGAGGAGCGGCCCTTCTGGGACCAGCCGGAACGGGCATTGAAGTGGGAGTACGGGCGACGGGAGGTGATGATACATCGGTATCAGGAGGTGCAAGAGATTCAGAACTTCTGC